ACCTATACTGTAGATAGGCCTTAGTCATCAGGTCTACTCCACTTCCTTGTTGCCTGCTTAGACTCTTGGCACTCTTAGGTGAGCAGAATTAGTCAGCCTGTGTTGCCCTAACACCCTCTTCTTCTCTCTCCTGCTCTCCCACCTGTCACTCTCACTCTCATACTCAGTCCACCTCTCCCCTGCTGACTGCATCTTTTTGCAACTGGGACTGAATGTCATTGGAGATTCCAGAGGCACTCTTATGCGCTGTATCACTGGCTTGGCTTTGGGGGTCTTGAACACAAGATGTTGGACCAGCAAAGTCATGGAAGATGGTCCACATCAGGGTCTGTCATGCACCCATACCAGGTATGCAACCTTGGCAACCTCTACTTGCACATGTTGACTCTCTTCACTCACCCCTGGAATGAGGCATAGAAGCTTTTTGTCTCACATGACCAATATGAGCACTGACCTGGAATAGTCTTCCCAGCTTGCTGATGATGCATTGTAGATATCCAGTGAGACAAAATTGGCTCCCAGTTTGTCAATGATGTAGTTCTAGATGCGAGCATCCCATTCATTGATTTGCATTGTAAGCCCACTCTTGCTTGGCTTGGCCAGCTGCCCTCCAAATGTGTGCTTCCCTCCCTACCAATAATGAGCATGACATGACTTGGGTGAGGTTAAACTCAACATTCCCTTACCATGTCAAATATAACCACAGAGAATTGCTGTGCAGCTTGCAATTCTCTCTCCAGCATCTCCCTCTCCCTCTCCTGCTCCTTGTCCATTTGTTCACAAACTTCTTGTCATGCTGTCATGATCTTGGTAGGTTCAATGGTTCCCAACAGCATGGGTTCGAGACTGGCAGGTGAGGCAGTTGCAATGGCTGTTGAGTGTCTGCATGTTTGTGTTGAGCCAGGCAAAGATGCTTGGGATTGCTGAGAAGGGTCTGTCCCATATGCAGATGGGTAGAGACCTGTTTGCCCTGCTTGTGGGTTTCCTGGTGCTCCCCCAGACATAGGCGGCACATGTGTGGAGCACCCAACTCAAGAATGCACTTGCTTGATGAAGCAGCATGTTTGACAGTGCTTGTATGTGCATTTCTGATTGCCTACTTTTCTGCATTTTACACAGGTCAGACATGCTTTGGCTTCTTGAAGATTTGGTGCTGGTTGCTTGCCCTTAGCAGTCTACACTGGAGGTTTAGTGGGACTCAGGCTTGGAAATGGTGGACTCAATCAATAATCAGGAAAAGAGGTGCCCCTGAGGTTGGCTTCAATGTTGCGGCACACCTCAGGCTCAATTTCTCTTCTGTGAAAGTGAAAACTTGCATTGAAATGATCTGGATTGGGGCACTATTGGTACATCAGCTTGTCATCTGGAGCAATAAGATCAATAGATACCCTTGTGAATATTTTCCCCCAATTTTCAGGATGCTCATTATGCCTGTTCAACAACATGAATGCCACACATTCTGCCTGGCATATCTGGCACAATCAAGTGGAACATTCCGTCATGCCCCAAAATGACATGATGGTTTCCACTGACATTCAAACCATTGTGGATCCAGCTGCATGTGGTGAGAAGTAATGAGAGTGAGATTGTGACATTCTCACATGTGAATGTCACAATTAGGAAAAAAGACAGGCATTCAAACAGATAGGGTCCTATCTGGTAGTGTGCACAGGCCAAATTTTGATGATTAGGGTCATCAGTGGGGTGGATATCAGGTGTTTGTCTGAGGTGCATGGGAGCTATTACATGGATCACATAGAGGTAGAGCTTGATTTATGTATGTGTCAAGCTCAAAGAATCAATGAGGCACAGGCACAGGCAGTTCCAGAGACAGACACAGACACAGAGGCAGAGGCAGAGGCAGAGGCAGAAACAGAAGGATACACAGATTGCAGACAGTGTGGGTAAAGAGAGGGACACACCTTGCATCATAGACTGCCACCCTAGACCCAGAGTCTGATTCTGGTGCCACACAAATCTGGTGTCAAATGAATCTGGTGTCAAACAAATCTGGCACCAAGTAAATCCAGTGGCAGGCAATTTGGAGGGAGGTGAGGGCAAAAGCAGTTTGAGGGATACAAGCCAAACCATAGTAGTAGGAGCCTGATGAATGTGCAAAGAAGCAGAGGTGGAAAGCCATGGGGAGACCAAGGGAGGGTGGAACAGGGAATGAGAAGAGGGGGGCCATGGATGCATTCAGTGAATGCCCCCCCGGCACTTGGAGAGGGTGAGGGACTTTGGGAGAAGGTAAAAAAGTGAGTCGGAGAGGGTGAGAGCATTAGAGTGAGAGGGTGAGGGTGAGGATGCAAAGATAGATCTTGCAGTGGCATACTGTGCCCCTGCAGTGATATGCACACACCTGTGTAACCCAGTCAGTATTGTGACCTGCAGTGTACTCAGTATAGGTTGTAATATGATCTGAAAACAGTTGCTGACCTTGCCAGTTAAGTAACTGTAAGTTCCCCCCCTCAGCCTACCATGCACCCAAAACTCCCCATCTGCTTCTCCAAACTCACTTTGGCATTCTTCTTCTTTCTCCAATATTCGAGCCACTTCCTCAGCTTCTCCACATGGCCCACCCCTTTCTCCACCTCATTCTCCACCTTATTAAAGGCAGCCAATCCCCCAATCCCGACCCAACCCCACTTGATAAGACTCCTGCCCATGCAGGTGAGGCTTGCTTGCCCCTGGTGCAAGGCAGAGACATACGCCAGGTGGGGAAACTCCACCAATTAGCACATAGGCAAGGACAAAAGCAAAAACCTACCTTTAGAGTGCCAAGAGGCATGTGAGTATGATTCTGAATCAAGTTCAATAAGAACTTGAAGGCGGGCATTGCTGTCATTGGTTTGCTGATGGTGGTTGCATTGGATGAGATGACCAGGTGCTGGTGCAGGACAGAATGACTAAGTCCACTTGCACAGAACTTGGTTGCTGGATGTCAGGCTGTTGCTGGAGTGCAGAAGATGATGCAGAGGGATAGGCAGAGGGAGATGTCAATGGTGAGGGTACACATGATGTCCAGGGTGAGGGCAATGGACACGGAGATGGAGTGTGAGACTGAGATGGAGAGGGTGACATGGAGGATGAGTGAGGGGAAGGTGAGGAAGGATGAGGAGTCAGAGAGGGAGAGGGAGAGGGAGAGGGAGAGGGAG